TGTGACGGGTGGTTACGGTCGGTGGACGGTGGTGACAGCGTGACGCGGTGACGGTGGTGACGGCGTGACGGTGGTTGAGGTTGATGAACGTGGTGACGGCGTGACGGTGGTGACGGCGGTGACGGCGGTGACGGTGGTGACGACGGTGACGGTGGTGGACGGTGGTTACGGTGATGACGTTTTACGCCGGTGAACGGTGTGTTGACGGCGGTGACGGCGGTGACCGCGTGACGGTGGTGACGGTGGGACGGATGACGGTGGTTACGCGGTGACCGGTGGTGACGTGGTGAACCGGTGGTGACGGTGGTGACGGCCGGTGACGGCGTGACCGGCGGTGAGCGGCGGTGACGGAGGTGACAGGCGGTGACGGCGTGCCGGCGGTGACGGTGGTGACGTTGACGTGGGTCACGGTGATAGAAAACGGACGAGCGAGGTGGTGACGGCGGTGACGGCGGTGACGGCGGTGACGGCGGTTTGACGGCGGTGACGCGGGCGGGTGGACGGGTGTCGTTGTGGGTGCGACAGTGGAGGAGACGGTGGCGTGGCGAACGAGTGTGGTGGCGGTGGCGGTGGCGACGTTGTGTGGTGGCGCGGGGATGCGCAGGTGGCCGCTTGTGGTGGCGGTTGTGCGTGTGGCTTGTGGTGGCGGGGCGTACTATGCAGCTGTGGTGGTGGCTTGGTGAAGGGTGTGGCAGGATAGGGGCGGTCGGGGGCGGCGGGTGAGGCGGTGAGGGGGGGGTTTGCCGGGGGGGGACGCGGGGCGGGCGGGGGGCGGGCGGGGGCGGCGGGGGCGGCCGGGGGGCGCCGGGGCGGCGGGGGCGGGTGGAGCGGATCAAAATGGCGCGTCACCGCCGTCACCGCCGTCACCGCCGTCACCACCGCCATCCGCTGTTCGCACTACCTCATACATCACACGCTCTACCACTACATCTCCAATACTCAACGCTACTATCGCAACTTTTCCTATTACTAGTCAAGCAAAAAAAATGCCCAAAATTTTACTGTGAGCTGAAGCGGATAGATACCTGCTCAAGGTCAAGGATTTTCAAGGTGAAATTGATTCAAATAAAAAAATATATTGTGGGGTGGCATATCTCAATATTGACGATCAAAATATTTTTTAATCTTTGTATTTTTGAGGATGTTTCTTGGTTGTTAACTATTGTTTGTTGAAATATATCATACCACCAATTATCTAAAATGGATTTGACCCTACATAGACTTTTGTCATTTCGAGACCATTCTAAGGTACCAGACAAACTTACGTATCAAAGTAAAGAACAAATGGTTTCATAGCATGACGACATCAGTTACATCAGCATCTCAATATTTACACAAAATAAATTAATCGATATAGTACTAGTGGGATAATCTTAGATTCAATGAAATGTAACGTAGGATGTCCAGAGACAAGGCCTTCAGTTAAAAGTCAATTCTTCATTATTGAATACAATGGATTAAAAACTAATTTCTCACGACATAAATTACAAGAAAAGATTCAAAAGTAAAAACCGTACGTGCTATACCACCTCACTGCACTGTCATACAAATTTTCACATGATAGTTTCTATTTTACCTGGTTAAACAATATTGCACTATATTAGTGTGTACTAAATGTACTAATATTAGTGTGTACTAAATGTGGATGCATCTGCAGCACTTACGATTCGTTCTTTTCATTTTGTTGCCTTATCTCGTACTTATGTAGTAGAGAGAAACTTATGTGAAACTGCGGTGAAAATATGCAATTTTTCGACAAACAACTCGTGTTGTCGGGCCTGATACCAAAAATGTATTAATTGTTCAGTAAAATACTTTTTGTGTCGCGTAGTGTAACGAGAATCCCGTTTGGTGGGCCCTTGATACCGAAAAATAGATTGATGGCGAAACATCTGTCTGCCTGTCTGTGGTCAACTCATGCGCCTATAACTGTTCTGATGATTCTTCAAAACAGATATTTTCCAATCAATTAAAACGAGTGCAAGGTTCTACGAGTTTCAAACGGAGGTCTTGAGTTTGGGGATATATTTATTACATGGAGGCTGCACATTTTCGACATTTTCTCAAACGTGGCTCTACATATTGTGAATTAACTTTGTTCTCATTTGTATTGAACTCTCTGAATTTTCAATAAGTAAGAAATGATGTGAAAAAATGCATCCCAACTAGGTTTCACAAATCATTCTGTCACTGAACTCCATACAGTCGTCGTCACCCGACTTTCACTGTGCCGTCGCTAACAATACAGTAACACAGCAGCACAAGTAATGCCATCTTCATCAATGGCGACAAAAACAATGACACAAACCCTTGTCCGTGTTGTCTTTTATAATTTTTAGACTTTGAATAGAAGTATCATAATGGTTGTGGTACTACGGACAAAGCGAAGGAAACGATGACGAGATAGCAATGGAAAATATAGAAAGTAGAAGTGAACATTAATATATCTGAGTTTAGGTGTTAATGCACCTGTAGGTATAATAAGATGTGTACTAAAAATAATTTGTACTTGATGAGGATTCAAAAATACCACATGAGATTCAAACTTTGTACAGTATAAAAATTTATTTATATTTTTATCATTTATAGTGTAATAACTTAAGGGATGTATCGTGTCAAGATCGCTGCACCTTAGTAGTAGGATTGTTGCGATGTGACTTTTTAGCAGGAACACACGATCGCTGCCCATGTTCAGTTACGTGTAGGTGTTAAGACAACAGCGAAAATTTACCAGAAGGAATATAACGGTATACAAAATGTGATTATTTGAACCCTAATAGCCAAAATCAGATGATTCAAATTGTCGGATTAATGTTACAAAAGTCGAAGGCTAAATGAGGGTAATCGAGCAGAGCCGCACGAAGGCGTAAACGGCGTAGTTAGCACAGTGAATTCTAGAGAGCAGCTTTATTGTAGCTTGCTTCGCGAACCGCGAAAAAATGAAGTACGAGATAGGCGTGGCTCAGCCACAGAGCACCGCTGTGCCGCCCCTCGCTCTCGCTCCCGTCTCGGACCTGGCGACGCGGCTCACACCCAAAGGCTGCGTCTCGCGCGGAGCCCCCGCCAGGCCCTGCCCGGCCCGCCCCAGCCGTCTCGCGCCGCCCGTTAGGGCCACCCGGCCCCGCCCTACGCCGCCCGCCTAGCTCCGCGCCGCCCCCCGTCTCCGCCCCCGTCACCCGCCCCGTCACCCCGCCCAGTCCCCATCCCCCGTCCCCCGTCCCCCGAGCCCGTCCACAGTCCCGTCCTTGGGTCACCGCCCCTGGCCCGTTCACCATCCCGTCCCCCAGCCCCGTTCTTCTGGCCCGTCTCCGTCCCGCCCCGCCCAGCCTCGCGCTGCCTCGTCCAGCGCCGTCCCGCCCCCGCCCGCCCCGCCCTACCCCACCCAACCCCCAACCCGCCCTAGCGCCGCGTGCCGGGCACGGACAGGTCGCGGCGGGCGCGGAGCAACTCAGCCCCGCCCTGCCCCGCCCCGGCCGCGCCCTGCCAAGCGCACGCGAATCGGCTACTCAGCTCGCCTTGACGCGGCGAAATCATGAGTTGACACGCATTTTAGACAGCAGCGCGCTGACGTGGACACAGGAAGAAATTCCCTCCCCTTCCTCCTCAGCTATTCACGGAGCATTGTAAACACCTGATAGATCTACGTATACCCTTGCGTTCGAAATGGCCGTGCAATAACAGAACTAGATCAATAGTGTGGTCGTTTGTTATAGTTTCTAACAGTGCTCCATTCACAATGTTATCGACGTATTATATCGTGCAGTTAAACTTAAGGAGGCTGTTACGCTGTTTATGATTCAATGATATGCGATACTCGCCCATTCATAACGATGTAGGCTCGATAACGGGATGCGCGGAGTAATCGTGTTTAACCACAATCACCCACGAAACAAAATGGAGACAAAGTACCTTTTCACTTCCGCTATTTAGGATGCGTGATGTGATTAATAGGGGTCGGGTGGAGATTAATGATGGAGCTGAACCCACAGTAATTGGGAATAATGACACAATGACAGAATGGGTCTTCGTTAACAGTCTATGTTCAAAGTCGTTTCCATGCATCTATTTCAAACTTGACAATCTTCAGAGATGAATGTATTGAGGAAAATCATATATGAAATATTACATTTTCAACTAAACCATTACTTTAATAATTTATGATATTTTATGAGTACATCGGCCTAAGTGCATACGTTGATTTCGATACAGTACTACTGGCGGGTCCCAGGGTTTGAGTCTCGACGGTGGGAAGATTTTTGTTACTAGCTAGGTAGCTAGTAGATCGAATTCAGGAGATACCTGTTTGGGGAAATCCACTAGATGTCGTGTTGGTCGCCGCCGGATGTCGCCTTTCTGTGGAGGGAAATCGCGATCCCATCCCGAGGAAAATACACACTACACTTACAGGACAAATGACCTTCGAAGTTGACGTGCCCGTTTATACCAATAACACGTTATGAGTAGATAGTGTTGTCGGTTTCAAATTCAAACAACGCTGATGGGAGTTGCTAAATGATGTTGCACAGATGACACTTATTGCTTGAGAAATTTTTATTTCGTGAATGACTCAGTTATTAATAATTATGGACGATGAAATTGAAAGAAGAATGTTTTTAATTGCTTAATACCAGAAAAGTCATTAAATGCGTATGAGAAAAAATACAAAATGCTTGAAAAAACTGTATACAAAAAAAAAGCTTTCCACATTTCTGAAAAAG